ATAATGTGGGCTTACTGGAGAAGATCTAATGGGCTGAACTATATCCTCAAATAGCCCACTCGTGTAAACTCATCCTACATTTTGAGTATATATAAAATAGAATCAATTTGGATATTATATAAGAGATAAATTTATTAAAGAACCAAAATTTTATTGCAAGATATGATATTTACTTGGAAAAACATTGGATATATTTTTGAAGTTGTTTCTGTGTTATATCGTTTAATTTCTAGACATATAATTATAGACATTGGCTCTTTAATTAAGCCTAAATAATACGTATGGTAAAATATCATGTATTGCAGTAAATATTATAAAAAAATTAAAATTTATTCGATGGAAACTCGAAATTGTATCATTACTTCTTTTTCAAACAAAATGCAATCTAAAATTGGTCTCTTTCATTTGATACTACACCAACTATAAATTAATTTAAAAGTATAATAGTACCTCGCTTAAATAATAATTTCTTTCGGTTCTCTCTCGGTATCTACAAACTAAATTATTAACTCAATAATTTAATATTTTAATAAATTAATAAAATCTTGTTAATCCCGACTTTATTAATTTATACAGGTTTAACTGTATAATCAGATACTATATAATTTATTTCAATTCCACTCATATATTTCAATCAGGTTGTCGTCGACCTCTTCATATATATTTATTTATCCTCAAAATCAATTAATTAAGGGTCTATTAGATATAACCCCCTTAAACATTCAAATAATAGGGGTAGACCCAAATTTATATTTGCCATTTTGATAACAACCCAAACTTTTCCTAATTACATAATTACCCTCAATCAAATCCCACAAAACCCGTTACTTTATCTTTTGAAATAAAATCAAATTCCTTCCTATTTTCCCGTTATAATCACTATCATCCCAACCCCCAGTATCGAATAAACTGCAAAACCTCCCAGCACACTTCCCAATATATATGGAAACTGAATAATATGTTTGTTTGAAATACTAATCAATTAGGGTAATTTTCCTTATTATATGAAAACGATTAGGGTAAATAATAATATATATGAAAAAATAATAATATATATGGAAACTGAATAATATGTTTGTTATACTAATCAATTATGGTAATTTTCCTTATATCATGTAATAGACTATCTTATTGATCTAATTCGACTATGGATCTCGTTAATAAACTATGGATCCCGTATTATTCAACCACATAG